TTAAGTTAACATACCACTTAAAGAGGGTTTATAGGAAAGATGAAGACAGACTTTGTACTAAGGCCTGGAATAACAGGACAAGGAGTAATGGCTTTAAACTGAAAGAGGGTAGATTTAGACTGGATGTAAGGAAGATCTATTTTACAGTGAGGGTGGTGAAACACTGGAACACTTTGCCCAGAGAAGCTGTGGATGACCCATCCCTGGAAGTGTTCAAAGTCATGTTAGATGGGGCTTTGAGAAACCTGATCCAGTGAAAAATGTCCCTGCCCATGGCAGGGAGTAGATGATCATCAAAGGTCCCTTTCAACTCAAACCATTATATGATTTGATGGTTCTCTGAAAAACTCCTTCCTTGGATTAAAAGTCATGCTACACATATTTTTGAGTAGCTGTGCCATGGTCTAAGGTGAATATTTTAAAAATTTGAGACATATATAACTGTCTGGTATTTTTTTATCACTTGGTAAATTTAAACAGCCTTTGTCCTCCACTGTGCAATGTGTTAGAAAGTCAAATATTCTCTGTGCATGTTGTAACAGGCAATGAAACTACATATCCCTTTAGTGACCTTATGAAGAGATTGCATCTACCTTTTCAAGATTTACATGGAAGCTTTCCAAAACTTCACAACCCTGGACTTTCCAAATAAATGTTCTTAGCATGACAGATGACAGGAGTTCATGTGGCAGAAAAAGAGGCATCGAAAATAACCACTTATGCAGAAATAATAATGATTCTTATTTATGGTGCCTATATCAGAATACTATAAGAGTATGGATTTTTTAAGGAAATCTCTGAGTCTTGCCCAGTATGGTTTATTATGAGACAATCTGTTCTGTTTCTGTGCATTTTTTATTCAAATAGTTTCGCATTCATTCAATGCTTTCAATGTCACATCATCTCACTAAGAAGGGAAAGATGGAGCTGATGTATCCCTTTGACAGACCTGCACTTCCTTTATCCTGTATTGGACTACATACAAAGGCACAGGACTGCTAGCAAGGCTGATTTGAGGCTGAAGTAAGAGTACAAAGATTGAAATCCCAGCATCATTGAAGACAGTGACAAAACCCTATTGATTTAAATGAAACCAGAATGGTTTTTTGCATTAATGTATGAGTCAGGAAGACAAATGGTATCTGATTCTACACATTTCAGGAAACTTTATGCTAGTACTCAGAAGGCTATTTAAGAAAAAAAGTATTCCAGAAATATTGCCTAATCTTTACTAGACTGGTATGGAAAACATTTAAACAGTGGCTGGCTGCATATTGATTAACCTTGGCTTATCATCATTCAGAGATAATGTTCTCAGGCAAGTGCTCAGTGCAAATCCTTCGTTCCCACAAAATAAACAGTTCACAGTTTAGATATCATACATGACTGCATCTGAAATTTGGTCACTTAAAACAGGAAAAGGGATGAATCAAAGAGGCACATTTTAGAACGCCACTAACAGAAATGCTCATGGTTAAAACATTTCTGCTTTTACTTACCATGCAGAAAAATACAGAAGCAATTTTTTTTAGAAAATTGCATTTCAATGCAGTCCTCTTTTTGCTAGTCATTGAAATGGTTTCTTCCTCCGTGGTTGGGTTCATCATATGGAAGGTTGGAGCAGCTGTTCAACAATATCATTACAAGCTGTCTCAGTCACTGTGATGAAGGACACCAGTGACTAATGGGTGCCAGCAAACTATCCAAGGTCAAACACAGAAAGTCAATAGGTAGGCTCAGCACTCCTCCCAACACAATGCCAGATGAAATTGAGAAGCTAATCTAAGTAAATATGGACAACTGAGTTACCACTTATAGCAGGTGGCAGCATGGCATGATGGATCTAAGCTATGGGGGCCAACTGGCATCTGTAGTTGTAAGGTGGTGGGCTGTGTGTTGTGCCCATCAGAAAAATAAATGGGGGGAATATATTTGAATATGGATGGACACAGAAAGGAAGTTTCTTTAACACAGATCTCAGCACAAGAAGAAAAGAGAGTGAATGAAAAAAGGTGAAACAGGTAATTCCTATGATTGTTCCTATTACAGTCAAGAAAGTAAGGTCTTGATTTTTTTTCCCAGAAGAATTTAAATTTTTTGTCATGATGTATATGTGACTTGTCCTCACAGAAATACTGAAAAAGTCTCAGTTTCTCAACCAAAGGAAAAAATGTAATCCTTTATTTTCTGGATCTCTCTCTGCTCCTTCATTCATCATAGAGCCCTCTACTCAAGCTGTGTGTATCATATGCTTTTACATAATCATAAGTGAAGGCATTTAGGAGCATATCTCAGCTTACTAATTTTTTATTTTCTTTGAGTTGCTGGGGTTGTGTGCTGCTTTCTTCATCCAGAACAGTATGCAATCTCATGAGTTATAAAGTGCAGACACTTTACCTCAAGTTAGGGTTGATTTACTTGGTTTCCTTGCAGTTGTAAACTGTGAATTATGGGTAGATCAAGTAATTTCAGTCTGTTCCAAAGCAATTTGGGTATTCCCTAGCTCAAAAATTCTTCCTTTCCACATTTCTATCAAGTACATAAAATCAAACTCAGCCAGTACCCATCATGACACAGAGAAGGAATCTTATTTCTTCCAGGCAGCTCCTCTTTGTTGTACTGCCTTTGTCTCCAGTGAACTCCTAAAGCAGTTTGTCATTTAATATCTTGGGAAGAGGTGTTCTTTTCTGCCTCAGCTATATAGGAATGAAAAATATCTTATTTTGAGTTGCTGAAGGGGATTTCTCCACTTGTGAACCTCAAAAAGAATAATTAAACTCTCTGCAGGATGGTGGTGCCATGTCTTTGTGGAAAAGTATTGCTAAAAGCTGAGGAAAGACTGAGGTGATATGGCATTCATGCCACAGCAGTTCTCACTGGTCTCCCATGCTCCCATTTCTTTGCTATTGCAGAGTTGGTTTGTGTACATACACAAGAGGCAACATTTGTTAGGAGAGATTGAATCTTTTTATTCACTCAAACTAAGTAGTTGGAAAAAATTGACAGCTTCTGGGCACACAAGCCCTTTTTCAGGCACATAAAAAAATTAAGGCCACTGGATACTGTCTTAGCTATTACACTGGGCAGTGACTGCTTTAAATTTTATTCAACCTGCCAGCCAAGCAATGAAAATGGAGTTCTACAGAAGACAACGAGGCTTCTACAGCAATGTTTAAAAGCTACGAAGATAATTTTAACATAGATCCTGAAAGGTGCCAGGACTGCCTGCAGTGCTGTCTGTGAAGATATGTGGAAGACCATGGTCATGGAACAAAAGCATTCTGCAGGGTGTCCTTACCCTTCCAAATTAATTCCTTTGCACCAGTCAGAATTGTGATCCATTCTATTTCTTGCTCCTGACAAGCTGGATAGTTGAATTTCCTTTGCATTTGTAGCTGTGTTGGGCCACAGATATTCAAGACTGACTTGTCTGGTGCCAGCCCTGGGGCAGGCTTCTACACTTCTGCTCTTGAAGACACA